ATTTGATTGAAAGTCTGGAGGAAGCTGAGAAGGACTTGAGTGGGTGAATGTGAATCAGTAAATGTATTAAATGTTCCACACACCAATGAAGATGGAAATAAGAAGGAAATCTTTTTGTTCCTTCCAAGATTTATCAGTACGTGGCTGAGTTGGTAGGACGCTTGCCTCAGGTTTAGAAATGTTTGGGTGATCAATTCACATAGGGACTGGGAACTCAAAACATAGATTGATACTCAATGCATTGCTGGAGCTTTCCTTTGGATGATGAGTTAAACTGAGATCCTGTCTACCTGTTCACATGGATGCTAAAGATCCCATGACACCTCAAAGAGTAGAGAGTTTCTCTTGGGGAGCTGGACCATCAATCCTCCAGATGAATTGGTCATTCACTTACAGGATTGTTTGTGTGACCTTGTGTGCAAATTGGCTGTCACATTTGCCTACAAATACAATCACTATATTTGGCAGCAATTACCCATGATTTGTTTGGTGACATTTCAAGTATTATATCAAAAGCAAGATTTATGCTGTATAATCTCGACTCAGCATTCGAATGTGCTGAGGCTTCAGTGGAATGGTTGCGTTCAAATACCTGAAAAAAGTCAACTAGGGAAGAAATTGCTTCAAATCTCTTAAGAAACATACCATTTTTATCCACCCAGATACCCTTACCAAACATTTGCATTTGAACCCCTCTTGTTAACTTCTTATTCTGCAAACTAGAATGCAAAGAAAAGATCTAACTGGCATCTTAATCAATGCTTGTAAAAGGTTACGAAAATGTAGACCTCACTGCCAGAAGCTGTGGTTAAACCAAGAAGCATCAAGATATTTTAGAAGGAACTTGATTCACGCATGACAGAGAATGGAACAGAGAGACCTGATAAGGTGCTACATCAAATGCAAGGATTATTTATACACAATATATCAGGACTAGCTCCCCTGGAAATGAGGTGATTTAAGCTAAGTAAACTGTTTTGCAGTATTTATAAATGGCAAAAGCTGCTGTGGAATTTAACTTCCCCCATACTCTTTTCCAACCCTCAGTTATATAATGAAATGTAAACTGGCTCAGCACCTTTGAAACATTGTGTGCACTCGGTTCTGCCAAGCACAAATATCGCAGAGCGTTATTTCCAAAAAAACTGGTGTAGAAACAATTCTCTCTCCCCCCCACACAAATGCAATTGTACTCTCTTCAGCAAGGACATATTACATGCAGAGTCATGCAATTGTATTTTAAGAGCACAGGTTACTTGTCCAGCACTTGTCCCATGGTGGTGGTGGGGAATGAAACCCAGTAAGGAGTAAATGCTTCTAACATGGTCAATAAGGGGGCATGAATGGCTGTGATTCCATTAACTCTCTTGTTAATCCACGCCACTTTACACTGAGTCAAATTCTATACCGTTCAGGTTGGAGCCTGTGCATCTTGAAGGACGAACTTTACACTGATGCTGAATGTCTCTGGTAACTTTGCTGCACTGCTAGTCCAGTGACCAGGCATGAGCTGCCCTGCAGCCTCACAGACGCCACATGGTCCTTAACCACCGGCAGATGCAGAATCCAGTCTAGTTTCCATGACAACTGAAGAATGAGCATCAAGGTCAGTAAAGCTGCCGCAGCCGATTGCTGTGTTACGGCTGTCCTGATTGTGTGGGCTGCCCTTGATTGTTTTTAAGTATGAAAGATAAAAGCATTATTTCCCATCAAGCTTTACGGGATAAGGGTAATGCATAACCCTTGTATTACGTGATCTCTGTGCCAACAAAGAGAACACACACAAACATTTCACATAACACAACACACAGGGGAGAATATAATTGTAAAATTTGTAGTAACGTGCCTTTAAACAAAAACAGTGCAGATCAGTTGCAGTACTGCTAACTGCAGGGCTTCCTCGAGGCTTATTGTTATTGCAATTCACCTACAAAATACAGGGTCACTACACTTTAGAGTAGATATTTTGAAGCACTTTGAGATCTCCCATTGTGAAAGGCAATTTCCGATTTCAAATGCAAGCTTATCATAATTATAAGGTGAATATATCAGTTACAAGGAACAATGTGAATCAGACAAAATAAACAAGATCCTGGATCCTAATGGTTTAAAGTGCGGAATCAAGTTTAATTTCAGTGACACATTAAGGATCATGAAACTGACATTATGGCTGACTTGACCAAACTCTCCTAATCACTGTGGGTTTGATAGATCCACTGTTCAGAAGCAACACATTTTCAGCCTCAGTGCCGATTTCTTGCTTTATATAAAAGCCTCAAAAATACACTAGAATGACAGTAAATCCTGTGAAGTGCTTTGAAATGTTCCCCACCTTTAACTCGGACACTCACGTGATGGCCTCATAGGTTCAGGTAAATTTGAAGTATCAAAATATTTCGAAGTTTTCAATCATTCAATTCGCCAGCATTTCTGCTGATCTGTATTGTTTCACTCTTTCAGTTGGTACTGCAGAGACACATGCTCTACAGTTGGAGGTCTATAAGGAAAACAAGTAAACCCTTTCACAAGGCAATCTGCCTTTCAGCCCACAAAGGGTGATTGCTATCTTAAAAATATACATTTAGTATGAATTGAATAACTGCAAGTGATTTTAAAAATAACTATGTTCCCAAAACTAAATAACCAAGATTCAATGTGATTCTCTCATACTGTAATTCATCCAGTTGTAAAATATATGACCTTACTTTCCAAATTTCTGAAAAGATATTCTTCATTCCATTCCAGGCATTCTTTATGTCAGGGATTCTATTGAGGAGGTACATATACATTTGCTTATGGACACCTATCTTGTGGTTATGTATTAATAAGTGTAGAATGTATCCTTTATGACATTGTAGTTACTCTGTGAGCCACAGGTACCATTTATGTAAACAATGTGTATAGATAGCACAAGCACTCACAGTGTTAATCAGAGGAGACTGGATTACTTACCACTGACACATGCGCTGACCTTATATTGTGAGTCAAATGTTTGAAGTTATACAAGCTCTGGTCATCTTGTTCTTTTTTTAAAAAAAAAGTATCATCAATTGAACATTCAACAATTCAGGTGCTGAATAATAAAGTTTTCAAAGCTGGACTGCTGGCCAGCTACACATAAACACTGTGGTACAAAATCTCTATTTGAGAAAGAGAGAAATGCAAAACCACCTCTTTCAGATTATCTTCCTCCATCAGAAAATGTCAGCTTGATCCCAGTTTGGCACAATTGAAAAGTGCTTTGCAACAGGATGTACAGAAAGGGGTCATTATACATTGAGGTGAATCAGGGTTAAGCCCAGCAAAATGCCTTTATTTGATGTTACAAATTTGATAGAAAGGTTATAATATAGTATTAGGCATTTTTAGGGGTTTAAGAACATATCCACCTCTTCACATAGAACACAAGTCTTGGGTGAATTAATCATGAAGGCTGAGATTTTATAGCTAAATAGTGTTACACCACCTATTGTGCCAATACTATTTAGCAGTGCACTATACAGCAACACAGTTTAATTTATTTCCATCTCCCTGCCCCCACACCCATCACCACCAACCTCCATCGCTTTACAGTGCACAATTTCTACAGCAGAAAGACAGATCTGCTCCATCACGCGGTGTCAATGCCTTGGTGAGTCAGAATTTACCTGTCTGGGCAAAGTCCCTGCTGCTCTACCTACCCCAAAATATCCGCAAAGGAAATGAATCGACAAAAATAAACAGTTTGCAGAACTGGTCTATCTACAAAGTATCATTAATGAGAACAGATGATCACCAGATTGCCTTGGATAAAGAAGGCCCTTTGGCCCATTTGATCTCATCCTTCCAGTACACTTGCCCTACTGTCTTCCCATCACAGCATCGAGCATTTTTAAAAAAAAATGAGTTCCAGTGTTCTGGCCTCAACCACTCTTCCTGGCAACTTGTTCCAATCATTCCACCATTTCCAAGTCATTGACTTAACAGCACTGTTCCTTTATGGTCACTGGGTTGAAATCATGAAACTTACTTCCTAAACACCATTGTGGGAACACTGTTGCCAAAAGGAGTTCAGGGATTTGAAGTGAGATTCCTACCTCCACCTTCTCCAGGTATGTGAGAAGAGGGAGTAAACACTGGACCTGCCAGCAACACCAATATCCCAGACAGCTTAGTTAAATAAGTTGCAATATGTTATAACAGAATACACATTGGAGGCAAGTCCCATTTTGGAAGTCTTAATATATTTGTTCACATTCAAAGAAAACAATTCTGAAAACGCTTAACCGGTTTATTTGTTAAACTCCAAAGATTTTATTACACGTTCAAAGATATGAAATCAATATTGAACCGGCACCCAGACACAAATGCAGATTTGTGTTCAGTTTAATAGCCGTGTAAATCCTGTTGACTTGTTAACCGTTTTCGCATGGTGTTGACGGAATTTCCGGTATGGTGTGACAAAAAAAGCAACATCAAGACTGCCTTAGCCTCCGGAAAGCAGCCTGCTTCAGGAATGGAAATCATGTGGGTTGAATCAGTGAACAATTGTAAGTCATTTGAGAACTAAATATTAGAATTACTGTCAGTGTGCAAGTTTGTAGGTCTTGAGATCTGAGGATTTGCTACCAGATCTGTTGTGCAGGAGTACAGTGTACAAATGGTTTCCTGCATCCAGGAAACTAACACTTGTCTGCAGCCTATAGCATCCTGTACTTTTAAAAATCCCAAACTTTCTAGAATTTAAAGACCATATTTTAAAGACCAAAACAGACACAAACTATCACTCAGGCCGACCATTGAAGAGCTATTTCATCCCATTCTCACTTTTTATAACTCTGCATATTAACCATATATTATTCTTATATTAGTCAATCCAAGGCGTATATAGTGACACAGTGTAAATTGAGGTAAGATTATTGGAGCATGGAACAGCAATATCATCTTTTAGCATCCGACAAAAATATAGCTTGGAAAACAGTAAAGTAGTAGAAAACAGGACAGACCCTTTTGACACGTACTAACACTAAACTGATGGTTTTGTATGGAAAATTTTATTTGATAATAAAAATAGCATTCACAGACTTTTTGTAGCTACATATACATTGTGATTGGTTTCAAGGGGAAAGAAAAGCTATACTGCATATGTTCACAACTACGTACTACACTTTACTACACTAAAGCTATGTATATAGCTATACGAGTCAAGCTATGAACAATGTAGTATTTATATATGCATAGTGTTTTATAAAAAGATTTGCCCATATATTGCTTTCAATCTACATAGCAGAACATTATGTCAATATCACATTGCAAGAGTTAATGTTTAAACACCACACAGACTGCATACAAGTGGTTTTATAATATACAGGCAAGTCCACCATCAAGAAATAGAATTTCAAAACCAACAAAAGCTCAACAGTTACTGATATAGTATTCCTTTTGAAAACTGTTTTACATACCTGAATTATTTAACTTTAAAATAAGTCCCCTAAATCAGTTTGTTCCATTTCAGAAATATAAACACTATCACATCCCTCATAGCTAGTTTTGCCATAGTTTTACTCTTTTTACAAGAAAGGCAACATTTTCCAACAGGCTCCATTAATTACAATTTAAACTTTGTACAGTACCATGGCAACAATTGGAATACAACTCGCAAATGCTTACTCGGTGTTGTGATGGAAATGTGAAAAAAGTACATATACACACTAGAGCACTGAAAACAGCTCACTTAGTGGTTCAACAGCAATGAGGAGCATCTTTATGGCTCAGCTAGGCAGCTTCTCCTCCTCGTTTCTCAAAGCAGTGTCACAGCAGACCTTTACCACACAAACCCTTTTTACAGTTTTATTGGAAATTATCAAATGAATCTAAAGCACACTCCCATGCTACTTCTGCTTTTAAATACTCCACCTGTCTGCACAACAACTTATTTAGCCATTTTTCTATGAGTTTAAAGAACTTTCCTTAATAAGCGTATCATAAATATGTGTCATATTACTCAAGTTTAGAGCTTTGCCTTTCCTTCATCATTTCCAGTCAGTAACCAACTAGTTCGCACAATAGTACATCTGTCAAGTGTTTGTTTAATGTTTTGGAAAGCCTCAAAACATTTTTTGTGTGTGTGATATAGAAAAATGCTTAGCATTAAAATGGCATAGTGTTTTTTGGACAAAGTGCAATTATCTTGTGCTAATATCATCTCGTTTTCATTACAACGTTTGGAGACACCCCAAGTACTAACAAAATATCTAGCAAGTTATTTAAGATCAATAATACAATTAAGGCTTACATTTGACATTTAATTTGAATACTATCTTCCTTTTAAACAATCCCTACCTAGCTTTTGTTGGGTCAGGCACATTTCACTGTTAACATTTTTCTGATATATGTACAGTGTCTTTTTTTTGTTTGTTTTCCGTGATATTCTTTTGTTTGCATCAGCAGGGCCTCGAGTCTTCTTAAGCTGACAAAATCTGAACAACTTTGGAATCTTTGCAGGCATCTTCACAGTATCCATCTCTTGGCAGATTTTGTATCGTTCGATGCATAATATTTCATTCAGATGCTGAGGTCAGTGCTGCATTCTTTATTGGCCTTCCTTCTAGGCTGTGGGGATTGTCTGGAACCTCTGGTGAGATCAATTTTCCCCTTATTTTGCTCCTCTCTGTGCCTGGAGCTTTCATCAACTTTGTTTTTCTTATCGGGTGATCTCTCTCTGGTTTTGTCCGGTGACCTGTGCCTCCTCCTCTCAGGCGATCTTTCTCTCCTCCTCTCAGGCGATCTTTCTCTCCTCCTCTCAGGTGATCTTTCTCTCCTTCTCTCAGGTGATCTTTCTCTCCTTTTCTCAGGTAATCTTTCTCTCCTTCTTTCAGGTGATCTCTCTCTTCTCCTGTCGAGTGGTGCTTCCCTCCTCCTGTTTGGCGACCTTTCTCTCTTTCGCTCAGGTGACCGCTCCTTTCTCCCGCTCGGTGATTTTTCACGCCTTCTCTCTTCCCATCTCAGTTCAGGTGATCTTCTTCTCCTTTCGAGGGTTTCATCTTTGTACCTGCCATGAGTTCCCTCATTTCGCTCCAGACTGTGATCCCTGTGCCGTGATATTTCCCTGCCTCCCTCAGGGGATCTTTGATGATATCCATTCTCTGGCTTCCTTTCTTGCCTTTGTCTTCTAACAGGTGAACTGTCCTTCCTCCAATTGGATGCTTTATCTTTTCTTTCAGAAGTACTGTTCCAGGACGTAGTGTGGTATTCTTTTGTGGGTCTGCTGTGTTCTTTTCTGCCCATTGGCCCCTCTTGTACATTAATCCTCGTTTCCCTGTGCAGTGATGAATTGTGAATTTCTGGTGGATAACTGGATTCCAGTGATGGATGAGGTCGTCTTTCTGATGGTAAGGATCTCATTTCCGGTACATTTTGTGAACCTGTTGTGGGGCTGTTGCTGTCATTGTTTGCGTCTGTAAGGTACAGGAAATGGATAGTTTAGCACAAATGTAAAGCTCCTTTGAAATGATTTATGCTCAGGACCTTTTCACTTCAATTTATCAATTATTTTTAACTCAATTCCATCATGGGGAGTATACTCCCATAAGAGTTTTGTCTGTGTGAACTCTCATTATACGTGATCACTTATTCAATTACTTATAGGTACTTTAATTAAATAACTTTAAATAAAACTCAAAGATGCCTATTTCGCTTTATTGTTTACGTCTAATCTTTGGTGGATTTTGTGATCATCAGTGTGAGGAATGTTAATAATAATAATAATCCTTGCAATTAATATCACGTCTTTGAAACATCTCAAAGAGCTTGACAGGATTTACTGTAAAGTCTAGTGGCTGTGTATTTGTAGGCAAATGTGGCAGCCAATCTGTGCACATCAATGTCCCACTAACAGTGAATGACCAACAGTACCATGGAGAGGAATTCTTCTGTGAGGACCAATCAAACAAACTCCACTGCGAATGCTCACATAAATGTGTAATCTTTGTAATGTGTATCATTTTAAAATTCCTCCATCATCCCTCTCAACTATAGCAGAGTATCTGCAGAGTATCTATTTAAATACTTCCTCTGAATAGTCTGACCATTGTTATAGAAACTGTAGCATGTAGCAAGGCTTCAGCATCTCTTGAAGTTTGCATATTGGGGAGAAATAGCTGCACAGTATAGCGAAACCAGTAGACATTTTTTATACAGAACCAGCCAACTGGAAATTTACAAGGAGAAAACAAGTCTGAATATCTACATTTATTATATTGGTGAATTTGATCCTATATTGTAATATCAAGCAGCATTTTCCTCAAGTATAAGTAGATCCTTAAATAACTCTGTTCTTTTCACGAAAAAAATCTGATCCACAAGACAATAAAACCAGTCTTTTTTTTTGAAGGACAGAAGAAGGGCAAGTTGTGGTCTGAATCTGCAATTCAATGTTCGACTGAAACTGATTTCCACTGTTGATTGAAGTTCCTTTGGGGATGAGGAGGTACGTCTGCAGGTTTTTCATGTACAGAAACTGACTAATACAGATTTTTGTAAAGCAACAAGATGCAATATATCAGATTCCTGAGGATAAACTGTTTAAACTTCAGTCTTATAGTTTATGCTGACTCTTGATGTGCTGCTGCTTTGTAATGGGTACCCTATGGCGGAATTTTGAGCTCATAGTCTACGCTGATACTCCAGTGCAACGCTGAGGAAGCACTACCATTGTTTGAGGTGCTGTCCTTGGATCAGATGTTAAACCCTGGTCCTGTCTGCCCGTTGAGGTGGACATTAAAGATCCCATGACGTTGCTCAAAAGAAAAGTTTCTCCCAGTGTCCTAGCCATCAATTCCCTAAATAAAACTGATAATTCACTTCATAGCTGTTTGTGGGAATCTGCTGTGCACAAATTTGCTGCTGCATTTGCCTACAAATAGTCATTAAGTTTCACAGTAAACCTGCGAATCACTTTGAGTCAATGATGCTGTGATAAGGCGTTATTTCAAACAGGAGGATTATTGTTACATGCTACAACCCATGTGGTATCCATTGCAAAATAAATCTACTGAGGAAATCAATGGAAATACTGAAGGTCCAGCAATGTGATCCAACGTCCCCTGAAGTCCTATTCACTCAATCAGTAAAGCTTGTGTGCCAAAAGGCAATGCATTCATCTTCAAACGTCATCAGCAACAAGAAGAGCTATGAAAATTCACTCTGGCATATATTATTAATGATAACAACTACCTGTGAGTGAATTTAGCACAGTAACCCAGTCTTAAGAGTTCAGACCACAGTATAAATGGCTCACGTTTCACTGCGGTAACTCATGATACTAACTGAAGCGGACTGGATATCCTCTTTGCGATTCACTTACAGCTGTCCATTTATCATCTCTGCACATACAGAGCATTTTCATGGATTCAACTGCAAGTTATTTTTTTCTGCAAACTACAATAAGGATGTTGCAAAGATATAGATGAACACCTTCCTGTGTGCATTATAATTTCTGACTTAGCCAACATGGCCCTAATAATAGCTGGCATCTCACATAAAATAAAAGCATTTTGATAACAATTTCAGCTTTTGTAGATTTGTGTTTCATATCTGATGAGAAGGACAGATTGACCTAAATCACAGGAATAGCAGCAGAACACTAAAAATACACCTCTGACTGCTGAAGTGAAATATATTCAGAATACTGACAAAGAGCTCCTGGCTAAAACAGTAAAACAAACATATATAAAGAAATGCAGCATATGTTGTACATAACAGACAGCGAGGACTAATTTCAGCCTGTAATCTAAACCAATGACTCAATAGATAGTAAAACAAAAGTAATCTTATAATATGTAGGGCATCCTTGACTGGATTACCACTGTATTCATTCCTGTCATGTTTTAGTTAGTATAATGGACATGTGTGACCATTTATAATATAAATGAACCCTTCCTTAGGTTGACTTTTTTTTAAAACTCAGTCAAATATCATTCTACAGTAATGATTTTCCTAGAAAATACACAGGCACTTTACATTATATCCTGTGAAGTGCTTTGAGATTTCCTTCTGACATGAAAGGCGCTATATCAAATATAACTATATATTATTATTATAAGTCCTGTAGCTCAGTGGTTAGAGCACTCGCCTTGCAAGCGAGAGACCTGGGTTCGATTCCCGGCAGGGCGAAACCTTGGGTAAGTTCCCTTACTCCACATATAGATTCATAGAATGTTACAGCACAGAAGGAGGCCATTCGGCCCATCAAGTCTGTGCCGGCTCTTTGACAGAGCAAGTCACTTTTACTAACCCCAATCACCAGCTTTCTCCCCATAACCCTGCAAACCCGTCTTCCCCAGATACCTATCCAGTTCTCTCTTAAAAGCTGTTATCGAATCGGACTTCACTGCTCTTTCAGGCAGATCATTCCAAATTCGAACAACTCGCTGAGTGAAAACATTTCTTCTAACCTCCCCTCTGCTTCTTTTGGTAGATATCTTAAGACTGTGACCACAGGATACAGACACACCTACCAGCGAAAACAGCTTTTCCTTATCTCGCCTGTCGAAACCTTAAACCACACGCCTGATAATCATCCCTCAAGATAAAAAACAATAATAAAAAAAAGGTCACTTCAATCCACGACTGTTTGTGGGACGCTGCTGTGCCCAATCTGCTGCCTCATTTCGCGCACACATATACAGTCAATTCACTTTACAGTCTATTCTGTGAAGCGCTTTGAGACATCTAGAAGACGTGAAAAGCGCTATATCAAATGCAAGGATTATTATTATTATTATTATGATAAACAGTGCTGGTTTACACTGCTATCACTTGTACAAACAATAATAATTCTTGCCTTTGATATAGTACTTTTCACATCAGGAGGACATCTCAAAGTGTTTCACGGTATTTACTGTTAATATTTTTTAATATATTTACTGTTAAGCACGATGACTGTGTATTTTGTAGACGAACATGTTAAGAGTTCAGAAAGTATTAGTAATTTATTGCTGATTTATTGTAATTTATCATTTAATGACAGAAGCAATGTCCTTGTCACGTTTTTTAAGTTTAACATCAATCCTACCACAGTCCAACGCCCACAATGAGAAGCTGTGCCTAAATCTCAGTAACTGATTTGGTGGACTGCTTCTGTTTGTACCCGAATATTGCAACTATGTCCAACAAATAAAAGGAATCAAAATTCAGTGAACTTGAGAGGCAACTGCCTTAAAATGATTATTAGTTAATGAGGGCACTACATGTGAACAGTATCTTTAAATTGCAACCTTGAGATAACCAAGGTGAACATGAGTGATATTAGCATTCAGATCCTTGTTTTGCAGATCACGTTCTCCCTATATAATGCATGGCAATATTTTGAAGCTTAGATTTGGATAGGGTACCTTTACCCTCATCTGTTACCTTTTTACTGGGAAAGGCAGCTTTTTGAAGTGTCATTGTTGCGAAACCGTGCAGATTGCTTCAAATCAACTGAGGGTGGATTCAGTGATGTTTATTGTCCAAAAGTTTATTATAAATTGGATCGGATCTAACAGAGAAAAGCATTTGCAACCATTCTTCAGACATTTGCGAAGTAATGAACAAGAGCATTGCATTATGAATCGCTCCCATCATTATATAGTTGGAACTCGGTTGTTAGTCAATTGGTGGTCGCTTTTCTGAGGGTAATAATTCCTTGAAAAATAAATAAAAATTATTTGGCCACTCAATCCACGACTGTTAGTGGGACACTGCTGTGCGCAATTGGCTACCGCGTTTCGCCCACAAAATGTACAGTCAATTCACTTTACAGTGTATTCTGTGAAGAGCTTTGGGACATCGCGAAAATGTGATAAAGCGCTATATCAAATGCAAGTATTATTATTATTAAGGATTATTTGTCAAATTTGTTCAATTGGCCTTTTTTCCCCCTGTGGCTGGTTTGCTTTTCGCAGCAGTCAAGTATTTCAAGCAGAAATGAAACTGTTGCAAATAACGTATCGAGATGTGAATAACCAAAAACTATATTAAGAATATTTTTTGCACAGGAAGCCTCCTATTTCAAAATATTAATTATTGCAAACAATCACCTTTTGTTTGACAGCTTTGCAACAGATCCGGTATAATTGTGGGGCTTAAAAATATCCAATTACCTAAGAATATCCAAAACAGACATAGTTCCACATACAACCATACAGCAACAAGAAGATTTCATTTATAGAGCGCCTTTCACGTCGGGAGGACGTCCCAAGGCGCTGGACAGTTAGGTCAGGACCCGAGCAGGGGGGAAATGGTTAGGGTGAGGGGAGGGAAGGGAGGGAGCGAGGAGGGGGTAGAGAGTCGAGAGGGGAGCTGAAGACACGGTCAAAGCGAAAGGTCTTGAGACCGGCCTTGAAGGAGGAAAGGGAGGAAGCGGCGAAGGCACTGGGGGATAGAGTTCCAGAGCCTCGGGGCTGAGAGGCTGAAG